AACAAGAATGCACTTTTTGTAGAAAACTGTTTTAAATCAAGGCTTCCTGACCAGTGATTTCAATCATTATTTAAATCAATTTGATTTAAATCAAATCCACCCTGGTAGCACTAGTTTAAACTATGCTATTCCCAAGCAATTTATTTACTCCTGCTGATCCAGCTGGATAAAACAAGCCAGATTATAGCTTCATTCTTACAAAGACTTAGATGCTTGCTTAACTTTCTGCACTGTGAGTAGCCTATATGTTTCACAGGGACTATTTGTAGTATGTAACGTTAAGCAGCTACACAAGCCTTTGCAGAAATAGCATCATGATGCTAAGTACTAGGGTGGTATGGGAGTTTCATGCCCACTTTTGCCAGCTGCCTTGCTGCTCATTCTTCGTATGTAGAGCCTGTCATAGTGCATAACTAAATACAGCAGTGCTAACTCCAAGCTTTCCAAAATCCTGAGATGACTTGTTTTTGTTTTATACTTGCTCCTTGTTTTCAGCCTTAAGCTCCAAAGTCTTTCTTTGCAGCCACATGGGCTAGACACTTTCCAAAACAACAGCTAAAATTATGATGTAGTCAAATGGCATCACGGGCTGCCTTTTTTAAGGAAATTAAATATAAAGAAACTTGCTGTAGTGTTATCTGCATTTGGCTGTCGGTGGTTATCATGCCCTAGACTTCTACACTTACTTAAGGGTTTATCTTTATTTGCTTAAATAGTAGGACATCTGATCACAATCTTCTAAGACCTTAGAAAAATGTCTTTGAGTGGACAAGTAAATAACATTTCCCTTGTTCCGTAGATGGAAATAACATGTCCTTTGCTTTCCCTAGGTATAGTTCTTGTTCAGAGGAGAAGTGAAGTGATGATTAAATGTTAAAATGAAACAGAGAAAACAGCTTTCTGCATTATAGTTTGCTTTCTGAGGTGCTTAATAATCCATATTCTCATTACCTTGCAGAAATGGAATTTTTTTGTACTAGTATACAAGAGAACATATAAAATGTGTTTTTCCTATGTATTTGAGAACCTGCAGTAAAATTAGCCAAAGCAAAGCCTAGGAATTGTGCTGTACCCTTCGCCTTAACTTCTCTGCTGAAAACTATGAGACTGCACTATAAGCTCTACATTTGCTTTACTTTCCTACCCACAACCTCTTAATTTCTAAGTGGGGGGCTCCAGCTGTTGCTTTACTACATTATCTTTTTGGAGGGAAGTTAACAAACACTTTGAAACTAAAACTTAGCATTCTATGCCTCTTGGATCACTTTCATGTTACATTGTGGATCCGGCCAGCTGTTTTAAGCAATCACTCTGAAATGACTTCTTCAGCAGCTATTAGTTTCTGCTTCTAAATAATATCTTTAGCATGAGTACAAATCTGCTCCTTCTGTTCCTAAGTCTTACCTCCATCCTTCACTGTTCCTGTTTCTGTCAAGCCATTTTGTGACTGACAAACCAATTCTTCACCTCCGTTTTCTTGTGCAGGGACCG